ATGGCCACGCAGGGTCCAAACTGAAGCAAACGGCAAGAATCTCTTTGTCCTTTTATACACTTAAAACCAGTGAGGAGAGGGGTGTGTGTGTAAGGAATGGGGAAGGGTGTCTGCACAAGATAACAGGATGGGGGCAGTTTGTAAGGTCACAGTGGCTTATTTTTACAACTTACTTCTCATCTGCTAGAGATAACAGTTTTACTTTTACGACTTACTTCTCATCTGCTAGAGATAACATAGTTTTACTTTTATGACTTGCTTTTTCTAAAACAACATTTTCTTCTTAAGGTGGGGGATGACCTTTAAACTCTTCAAAATGGGGTAGCTTAAGTCAAGCTCTTTTATCTTATTGAGCCTTAGCAGTGCGGAGTGGAGGCCCAAAGCCTATCTGTAGGCAATTGGACATCCCCTTACAGAAGGGTCACGGGGAGGAGACAAACCAGTCAGGGTGCAGGTTAGCAACAATGAAACATACAACTTATTGGCAGGGAGTAGGCCCTATTTAGGGTGGGATAGACTATAGAGTCTGATTGCTCTAGATGGCTGATGCCTTCAGCGAAATAACCGTTAAGCAGCTGACCTTCAAGTGTAAGACATTGGCCATGTGTTAACAAGCAGTATCTTAGGTTTGGCATATAATATGGGGGGACAACCTGGGGAAAAAACCTTTCTGTATCCCACAATTAATGATATTAATTTTTTTGCCATATTGTATTTAATCACCTTCCCCTGGAATGGGCACAAACATCTTTTCCCATAGCAAAATAGCTTTCTTATTTGTCAGAGTAAACCAGCCTCTGACAACCGCGGGGTCTATAGGCACAATTGTGCCGTGATAATATGTAAATGTAAAGTCATAGACGATAGGAGAGAAAGTAAAACAAAGGAGTCAAACACATTTCGTAGTAGCATGCTCACCTCCGGGCCGGCCATGATCTCAGCAGCCAGGTCCATTCATAGAGAAAATATATTTCTAACCAAGGCTTATATATATTTAGGGGGTATGCAAGCCCCTCTGATTACAGGTAACCACATATATAACAGCAAGAAGCTGTCCAATAGGCATACGGGTAACAGGAAGGGGATAAACTAGGGGTGTACACATAATAGAAAAGGGAGGGAGTAGAGCAGTGGTTCTCAACCTGTGGGTCGCAATCCCTTTCGGGGTCAAACGACCCTTTCACAGAGGTCACCTAAGACCATCAGAAAACATATTTCTGAGGGTCTTAGGAATTGAGACACCGCTCCTCCATCCACCTCCAAAGGGGTCCACCCACATGCAGAAACACCCACATACGAGTACCTGGTATGAAGACTGTTACCCATGCTACACCACGCTTCAAGAAAAAATTTCGGAGGGAGCGGGGAGGGAGGGGAAATAATGAGGAGCTGATGCCAGGGGATTAGGTGGAGAGCAAATGTTTTGAGAATGATGAGGGCAATGAATGTACAAATGTGCTTTACACAATTGGTGTATGTATGGATTGTGATAAGAGTTGTATGCGTCTCTAATAAAATGATTAAAAAAATACCAAGAATGTTACACAGAAAATTAATATAGTTGTCATTAATAAGCTGTATATTTGCAAACATTTGAATTGTCAAAAGTTGCATGATAGGTAATATTTACAACAATGACAAAGATAGTGTCTCAACTGATACTACTTACATATAAAAAGAAAAATTTCTTTTGTCATTAGAAATAAATATTTCACAATATATAATGACATATTGTTTTTGTGATTCACCACTATGCTTTCATGATGTTCAATTTGTAACAATGGAAATACATCCTGCATATATTTACATTACGATTCATAACAGCAGCAAAATGACAGTGATGAAGTAGCAATGAAAATAATTTGTTATGGTTGAGGGGAGGGGTCACCACAACATGAGGAACTGTATTAAAGAGTCGCAGTATTAGGAAGGTTGAGGACCACTGGACTAGAAGTACACGCGAGACAAGATGGGCGGGTGCTAGATTCAAGATGACAGCCTAACCTTGGTCGTCCTTGAATAGGCTTGACCTTGCCTCTTGCCTCCAGAAGCAATCCACTATCCTTATCAGCAGGAAGTGGGCCCCACCTAGGGTGGGACAGACAACAGTGTCTGATTGCTCCAGATCCGGGGTGTCAAACTGACAGCCTGTGGGCTGTATGCGGCCCCCACGATAATTTTTTGTGGCCCGAGATGCTCTGAGATAAAGTGTAATGAGGGAATGGAGTGTACGGTATTGCCTTGATCTCCCCTAAGCGCTATTTTCTTCATAACAATTTTTTCTATTTTCATTTTATTTCAGAGCATCTCAGGCAGCAAAAAAATTACCTGGGAGGGGGGGCTGCCAGTTTGACATCCCTGCTCTAAATGGTTGATGCCCTCAAGCAGGGAGATAACCTTTAAGCAACTGATCTCCCTTGTGTTGTAAGCAGAGTCCTAGGTTTGGGGGGTGGGCAAGGGGAAAGGGCCGGAAGGGGGTGGGGGTGTCGAGACAACCTGGGAAAAACCTTTCGGTATCCCACACTTATTTCTTGGCATAGACCAGTGAGTGCTTACCGGGTTGCATATTCTAATACTCTACTGTTCAGCAACGTTTTTTTCTCCTTTTTCTTTATATCATTGGTCTCTTTCCATACAAGAGATCTGTTATCAGCTCTTACTTCGTGTTGTTTATCGACTGCTTTTGCTTGACACATACTGTAATTGCTCTGCTGTACTTGACCCCACCCCCGCCCCAGCATCATTTAAACGGGTGAGGTATGCAGTATTTCTTACACTCATTTTGCAGATGGGGAAACTGAAATGCCAAGATTTGCTCAAGGTCATAGCAAGTGCTGCAGTAAAGCTTTGAACCCAGCGTGTTCTTAACCTCCCACATCTTGCCTCTCGTTTGTTGTCCACATGTCTCTCTGTGTGTTCATGTCGTTCAGCTTCTTTTTTTTTTTTTTTGCATTTTTTTTTTTTAATGGTCGTAGCTGTAGATGAACAGTCAATGAACGCTTTCTTTGGGGAGTAGGTGTGTGGGTTCAGCAGCTTCCAAATAAAAGGGGCTGAGTTAGGTTTTGAGCAGCTGGAGGAAACAGGTGGGAAGAGGGAGAATGAAGGAACCAAATTTAGGCTCCTGGGTTCTGGTGACTCCTCACCGAGGCAACTTCGTTGCTAAGGCAACTTTGTTGCTCTGGCAACGGAGAGGCAGCGCTGCCTCTCCCAAGTACCTCACCGGCCACCATCAGCCCCGCCCCTCGCCAGACACTTCCGCATTGGGAGGCACAGAGCGGTTGCGCAGCTTCAGGATTGGCTTAGGAAGGCGGGAATTGCCACCGCGGTAGCCAAACAGTAAGCTCCTTCCTGCCGGGGTGGGTTGTGCGGCAAAGGACGCCCCGGAGGGGTCGGGACGTCTTCGGAACTCTCCTCTGGGCGTTGAGAAAGGCGGGCTTTGGTCCTTTCTCCGCCTCTAAGGAGCCGAGGGGGCGGGAACGAGCGAGGCCAACCAAGGGCGGGGCCCAGGTAAACCATGGGAGGACCCGCCCACCTTCGCTTTAGACCAATAGAAAGCAAAGGAGCGAGTGCCGACGGTTGGGGTGTCCAATGAGCGTTGCCGCTCGGTTCCAGGGCGGGGCGCTCCAAGCCAATCGGGGGCGGCGGCGGGCGGGCGCGGGAGCCGGGGCGGAGCGGCGGGGGCGGAGCGGGCGCTGCGGCAGGAGGGAAGATGGCGGACGAGGAGAAGCTGCCGCCCGGCTGGGAGAAGCGCATGAGCCGCAGCTCAGGTGCCGCGGGGGTCGGGGCTGGAGTGGGGGCTCGCGGGCCCAGAGAAGCAGGGCTCGAGCTCGCCTTTGGGGCGCAGCGCCGTCGCCTCTTTGCCTCGGGGGTCCTGGCGTCTCCGTGTCGTTCCCGATAAACGGCCCGGCCCACCGCGTGGGAGCCCTGAGCCTCTGGAGCGAGAACGCGAGGGGCGGGGGGGAACTGATGCGCCGCGGTTTTAGGGAGGCTCAGTGCGCTGCAGGGCGGGTGAGAGACGGGTGAGCGCGCAGGCTCTGGCCGGGTGCCCCAGGCCTTGCCCGCCCGGCGGATCCTCCCTGCCTTATGCGGCTCAGGCCTCCTGGGGACGCCCCTGCACCCCGCCGGGCCCGGGCGCATCCTTGGGGGATCGGCCCAACCTGCTCGGAATGTGGCCCCGAAGTGTTCCCTGGCTCAGAGCCCTCCAGCCCCGGCGTCCACACCTAAGACTGCGTCTGGGACCCCAGTTATCCCGCATGAGACTGACCCCTGTGTCCTGGGCTAGATTTGAAGGTGTCTCCCAACAATAGGCCACGTCTGAGTCCGCTTCCGTCGCACTGCCAAGCATTTAAATGTGTTCGAGTGGCCACAGTCGTGGGAGGGAGGGAGTCATGACCCCCATATTGCAGATGGGCAAACTGAGCCTTCCCACAAAGCTTCAAGGAGCTCCTCTGAGGTTGAGTTCAGGGATTGGGGACCGAGCTCCAGAGCCCCCTGCCCACACTCCTTCAGGGAGCCATGTCATCTAGCACTGCTCGGTAATAATTCCCGTTGGCTGCGTCCTTACTGTGTGTCTGGCACCCTGGGGAGCTTCTGCATGAGTCCTCAGCACTCCCCGTGAACCCCACGGGTCCTTCTTTCACCCCAACCTTCCAGAGAAGAAAACTGAGGTTCAGGGAGCCAGTCCCCATTGCCACGGCTTCAGAGTCGTCAGTGCCTAACCGGATTCATCCTTGACCCAGGCTCTTGGCCACCCCAGCCCTTCACCTAAACCTGCTGCAGAAACCTCATGCCCCGCCCACCTCTGCCACCTCATTCTGGCATTTTCTGCCCACTGAACCGCTCCACGGGACGGACACCCAGCCGGACCTAAGTGTGTGCCTGGGACAGAGGAAACAGGAAACATCGCTGCTGTTCCCAAAGATGGGGAAGCTAAGGCCTCAGTTCTGTCCTCTAGAAAAGGAAATGATTGCGGTCACACTTTAACGAAAAAGTGATGGCAGTAACTTCATTGAGTTTTTGGTGGAAGTCAGTCAGTGTGCTTCCCAGTGGACAACTTCCACCCAAAGTGTTCGGTGACATCCGTTGCATTTGCTACACTGTGTCCGGATTCTCTTCCATTGTGTTCTGTTTGTTCCCTCTCCAGCACAGAGTCCCTGGCCGTGTAGTGGTTACAAGTGGGGCTGCACGCTCCAAGGTCAGCAGTCCCAAACCACCAGCGGCTCCAGGGGAGAAAGAGGGACTCTCTACTCCCTTCAAGAGTGACAGGCTTGGAAACCCACAGGGTAGTTCTTCCCTGCCCTGTCTATCAGTCACTATGAGTCAGTTGATTCGTTGGCAGCCAGTTTGTTTTTGGTGTATGAGTGAGGCAGAGCTGGATTTGTCCCCAGGTCTGCTCTGCACATCCCAGCTTGGCTCTAGTGATCTTTCTCCGTGCAGTTCTCAGTGAGCGAAACCTTCTCATTTGCTGGTATAGTACCTGGCTCCCTAAGGGCAGGGCCTGTGGCACTCAATGGGCACAAGGCAGGATGGGTCGATTGAGGCCTTGTCTTATCCGGAGAAGGGCCCACACAGCGCCAGTTGAATGATTCTCGTCTCCTACCCCTCCAGGCCGGGTGTACTACTTCAATCACATCACCAATGCCAGCCAGTGGGAGCGGCCCAGTGGCAACAGCAGTGGTGGCAGCAAGAACGGGCAGGGGGAGCCCACCAGGGTCCGCTGCTCCCACCTGCTGGTCAAGCACAGCCAGTCTCGGCGGCCCTCGTCCTGGCGGCAGGAGAAGATCACTCGCAGCAAGGAGGAGGCTCTGGAGCTGATCAACGGTAAGCAAGGCTGGGGCAAGGGTCTCCGGGTGGGGTCCTCAGCTCTTGGTGGAAATCAGAGGGCCCCTGCATCATCCTGCAGTGGGTCAGCCGGCTCGGAGGGCCAGGTGGGTAACGGGAACCTGGCCCACATCACGGCCACCTCTCCCTCTTCACTCCGTCGCCGTTCCTTGGGTGAGTCCAGGTCCGGGTGGGAGGACCCAAGCCCAGAGGCTGGCAGATCTATGCTGATTGAGTAGCTATAGGCTGCCAGCTCTGCCACCTTGAGGACTTGGGTTCGCTTCCTGGGAATCGTTTTTCTTTACCTCTGAAATGGGCATCAGAACACCCTGTGTCCGAGGGGCAGTGTGAAAACTCAGGAGAGAGGCTGTGCCAGGCGCGCAGTCAGCCCTCGGTCTCAGTTCCTCGGTTTCTGTCAGATGACTCAACAAGCGAGGCAAGCACAGGCTTACTTGTGCTTACTGAGGCATCTGTAGTGACTGATTCCACTTTGGTTTTTGCACCACATCGGAGATTCTGCTTTAGTCTTGCTCCCAACCCCAGAGCGCTTGCCTGCAGAATTCAAGCCGATTTTCAGCCCCCCTGTCCTGGACACAGTTGGAGTACCCAGTAAGCCCTTTGTTCATCGGGTAACCCGCCCCTGGCTATTGTTGATGGCAGCATTAGGCAGGGTCCTGGGGCACAACTGTCAGTGGGTCTGGAGGACACCTGGAAGTCCCGGGTGGCATTGAATTCTGACCCAAAGGAGGAGGTGCTGCTCTGCACCACTCCGTGCGTCCTTCACCTTCCAGAAGAGGGGTCCCCAAACATTTTCTTACCAGGCCAGATAGTGATCGGGGTAGATTTTGCAGGCCATGGGGTCTCTGTCCCAGTTGCTCAGCTCTCTCGTTTGAGTGAAAAGGCAGCAGACTGACAATATGGTGACAATAAAACTTGATTTACAAAAATTAGGCAGGATTGAGCTCAGAGCCATAGTTGTTGAACCTTGAACTAGAGTAGTCCTTGACAGCTTCTGCTGCCTCGCTGTGGCTGTCACCACTTAAATTCATGCACCGTAAGCAGTCCTCAAAAGTCGGTCCCTGCATCTCACCAGCCACCCTCCACACCAGCTCCAAAACCAAACTGCCTGCCCTCACGGGCCCTAGAGGAGAGAGCCGCGCTGCCCCTGTGGGCTTTCAAGACGGACTAGGCAGGAGCAGAGGGCCTCATTTTTCTCCCTCGGAGCAGCTGGTTTCGAATTGCCGACCTTGCAGTTAGCAGCCCCGCAACGGGTAACCCAGCCCGTCGCCAGGGCTCCTTCCCTCAGGACCAGCACGGGTATAAAGTATTCTGTCCCCGCAGGAGGCTCTGTCAAACAGTGCTGGCCTAGGTCGCAGGTCAGCTCATCCTCCACTCAACCTCTTCTGCCACAAGCCCGCAGGACCTCCCCACATCCAGACAGCCCGGGTTTCATCTGGCCCCACAGGTCTTGGCTGTGGCTGGACAGATTGCTTACCATCACTGAGCCTGTCTTTTTCACCAGGAAAACTAGGAGTATAACCCGAGGCCCCGCCGCATAGGCAGTTGAGGACTTCATACAATGATGCGTGAACAGCCCCTGGCCTCTAGTGACCTCACCAGTGGTCATCATCACCCCGTTGGCAAAGCATCAGTGCGGTTCCAGTCCAGAGCTCTCTGTCACATGCTCGTGTGTGTACCCACGAGTGCAGCATATGGGCGCCCGTGAGCTTCTTAGGACTTAAGCCACGGTGTAGAGAGGAGCCCAGTTCTTGGAGAAAACCTTAAAGGTAGATGAAAGAGCTTGGCTCTGGGCGTGCAGGGCCCGGCTCTCTCTCCTCACTTTCCCACCGCCCACCCTGAAGCCTGGCCTGTAGTCAGCTCTCAGAACACAAACCAGTAGCAAGCCGAGGGGTTCCCGACAGAAGAAAACAAGCCTATAGGTGACTAATTCCATTTAAATTCATTCCCATCAAATAACCCCAAAAATTCAGCTCCTCAGTCCCGCCAGCCACCCTCAAGACCAGCAACGGCCACAGTAGAGGAGCCTGGGGAAAGCCATACAGGGGTGAGATGGCAAAGGCAGGTCCTGGCCAGACTTAGCAGGGCTTCAGGTCACTTCCCACAGGCCTCGGGGGAACTGCGGGCATGTGGGACCGGGAGAGCGTCCCGGCGGTGGCTGTGGCAGTGCCTGCTGGAGGAAGAACGCTGGCTGGTGGGGTCAGACCACTAGGGTCGCAGGGCTGGCTGTCTGGGCGAGAGGAGGAAGCAGGTGGAGAAAGCCCAGAGGGAGTCACAAGATGACCTTAGGGTCTTCCCCATTCTGGGGTGCCCCTTGCTGAGACCTGTGGACCTTGTAGGAGTGCACAAAAGGGCACTTGTGGGTAGTTTAGCGGCAGGAGGTGCCCTCAGTGGTCGAGACAGGGTGGAAGAGTGGGCGGCTGGGGATGAAGAAGAGGGGACGGAGTAAGCAGGCTCTTGCAGGAAAGCCATGGGATGGCCAAGGAGTGGCCAGTGCGGGTGATGGCGCGAAGGACCTGGAGGTCCTTAGAGTGGGACGGCTGGGCCCTCGGGCTGAGCCTGAGGTGTGCCAACTCACGAGTGGCAGCAGGACCCAGGGCAAGGACCAGGTAGTTGTAGCTAAAGGGGCTGAGGCTCAAACTGGGTGGGGCTGTGGGATGGAGAAGGGGGCAGACTCAGAAGGACTAAGTAATGGGTTAGGTGGGCAGGGGCAGGGGAATTCAGAAGGTAGGCTAGGTCAGTCACCAGCTGGATTTCAGTGCCCGTCTTCTGTGTGACCTCTAGTGAGTGTGTCTGTCTCTCAGTTGGCCCATCTGTAGAAATGGAGGCTGGGGTGCCCAGAGCAAGGTGCTCAGCAGGGCGATGGGTACAGTGTCTGGTGCAACACAGCCCTGCCCACGCTCAGGCCTCAGGTGTGTGTGGCCGAGGGAGCTGCCAACAGGACAAGGTGGAGGCTCAAGGGCACCCCTGGCTGTATTCCCCGCCACAGGGAGAGCTCTAGGCAGGGAGCCAGGCATGACGAGCTCAGCATGGAGCCCCTCTGGTGACCTTGGGCCCTTGACCTCCCTCCCTGGGCCTTCGGACCTTCCAGTCTTGAGATGGCCCCACCAGGTGTACTCAGTGTGATGTCAGCAAGCTCTGGGCCTCTGGACCTTGCTCTTCCTTCTCCAGAAGTGGACTGTCCCGCACCTGGGCTCCTTCCAGGTGGCCAGGAGATGGTGGCATGGGCCTGATACTCCCCACCACCAGTTAGCTGCTGCTCCCCTCTGCTCCCAGGGGACAGACTGCCCACAGCAGCAAGCGCCAGCGCCTCCCGCTTTCTGCTGAGACTCCTGTTTCCCGACCGCGCTTCCTCTGCAGTTGCTGGGCCTTGGCCAGAGTCTGCCAGGATCCCAGGGCTGACTGGGTGTCATTGCCGGTGTCCTTGTCTAAGGAGGCCAGGCTGTTGAGAAGTTAGTTCCATTTCCC